CAACGAAGAGTCAAAAAAGAGATGACCGCATACAACTATTAAAAACATAAGTACCCAAATACTTAATGAGATCCTCGCTCCCGAGGAGCTCCTTGACAATTATAAGGCTCGGCTCGTATACAGGCTCCCCGTTCTTGTCGATCATCGGCCTGCCTCCCCGGCCCACTCGCTTGACACGAGGGATCTGGGCCACGAAGGCAGTTAAGACGGCGAAACTCTCCAGGTCCTCGACTCTGAGCTCCCCCTCCCTCCAGACGTAGGAATCCAATTCGCTTTCGAAGTTCTTCCTCGTCCAATGGAACGAGAACTTGTAAACCAGTTTTACCACAGGGTCTCCTAGCTCGTTCAAACAGGGAGTACCATCCTCGTTATACGCCAGTACGACCCTAAAGACGTTCAATATCGCCTTTCTCGAAGAAGGTTGCACTAATATATATTTGTCTTTGAAATGACGAACGGACTCCAGATAAGCTTTAAACAGCTTTCCGTTGCCTTGCTTCAGGGCAACCCATCCTCATTTGTCGTCGACCTTGCTCCACTTGAGGTAAAAGAAGTAGAAGAACAAGGGAATGGTGTCCCCTATCTTCATGTAATCACAAACTATATCGAACGCTCGCATGAACGTGATTCTTTTTGGGTGAAATTAGGAAGGAGCCACTCGCAGATGCCTGAATACGGCCACCTCAAAATCCGAGAAAGGGAGCCGAAGACCCATCTCCCAAAACATAATGTCATACATAGGAATCTGCGTTCTGTCGTATTCCAAGCAGATTCTGCTCTCTTTCTCGGGAACGTATAGTGACCACTCTCCATGGTTTCCTTCCTCACGAGTGTACACCTCAGTAAAAACATCATCTCAATGCTCGAAAAAATGTGAGGGCCACTCCTAGGGATCATTTGCGACCGAAGCCTGCGGATCCTTCTCTTCCCCGGGGGGAAACAAGCAACCTTGATCAGCAGAGGCCATTTCCATATTGCCTCCCCCATTTGCTGTTCCAGCTGATTCAGCTCGTCCTCAGAGATCTCCAGAATGCTCGACGAGCTACTCGCGTCGTCCGAAGAAATTCTTGAAGATCCAGAAAATTCACTCGAGAGATCAACCCGGGTGTTGTCGGCCATAGTACCTGAAAAGAAGAGGATGAAGATGAGTTCGACATTAATGCCAAAACCACCCTTCCACCTCTAATAAAGTGAAAGGGCGCTGGGAAACAAGGATCGTGTCCTTGATCAGAACCCTCACTAAGGTGCATAAACGGGAAGAAGTTACAGAAAGAGCCCTAGGCCTTAAAGGACCGTCTACGGTGCATCATGAAATGCTTGGGGAGGATCCACGGTGACTTCGACGATTCTAAAATACAAAACCACCACCTACCACCGACACTCCCCAATGATGTCCTAACAGACGAAATGCTAAAACCTAGCCGCATGCATTTCTAGAAAGAAAATTACGAAAACCTGAACTACTGAAAGCAAACGAAAGTGAAAAACTGAAAACTTACCGGTTAAAGCAGAAGGAAGGCTGGAAGTAGCAGCAGCAAGCAACAAATCTCAAGAAACAATGGTGGTTGACAAATGAGCAATTATGAGCAGTTGGGAGAGAGAACGAAAAACACTAAACTCCATACTCCTCTCGTATTTATAGTTGGGATCATCCACACGTGCGAGACACGCGCTTGGGAAACCCTAGGGTCGTCATTATTACACCCTAGCCCATAGGCCATCATTGTGCCACTTCACCAGCATGCTACCCGAAACACGCTACCTCTTCAAGTTCAAAGCTCTTAACGACCAACTCCTCATCTCCCTGTGAGAAAGGCGCAACAGGCGACACTCATTCTCCCCCTAAGACGCGCCCCGTTCCACGAGCAAGTGTTAAAGTCATCACTCATGTGCCCAAAAGTAATGACTTGGGGGATCTACTGTTCTGGACTGGCCCGACAACTAGAATGGGCCTAGTCTAGCCTTTTCTTTCGGTATGGTCCACACGTCCATGGCCCAAACCGCCCCCGCTTCGACCAGGAAATATCAACCCTTTGCCCCCCCGTCCGGCGCTGGCCTAAGATGATCGACGAGCACCTCTCAGTTTTCTCGACCTCAAGTCGTGCAGATGACCAGGAACCGACCAGAGCACTTCCCGTAACTTACCTCCTCCTCGGAACCAACGACTAGTTACAGGCACAGCTGTCCGATTTGACCAAGTCTTGGCAGTTACCTATTTTGGCGTACCCGCATATCCAAGCGTAAAAATAGGAACCAATGACTATGTGTCAGGGGCATTATATATACCCTCACACTTGTGAGGGCCATGTATCAAATATTCACTATTCATTACCAATAACTTAACACTTTACTTGTATCTCCTTGTTCCCACTCTTACTTGATCGTCGGAGTGCCTTGCAGGTACAACCTCTTTCCTCCTTCTCGACATCACAATCCGACTGCAGATCATCATCCGACCACCTTGCAGTTTTTGATCAACCGATAAGATAAATAACGTTTTTCCATTACTGCACCATCAGCTGCAACGTTAATCGTTAGTCTTGTGTTGTACAAGAGACCATTGTAAAAGGTGTGGATGATCAGTCATTCTTCTAGACCATGATATGGACAAAGTCATAACATGTATTTGTACCTTTCTCATGCTTCAAAGAGAGATTCACTTTCCTTTTGTTTAAAACCATTGATATTGGCTCTTAGCATAGTCGTTTTACTCGATGGAAAATATCGCGATAGGAAAAGTTTCTTCAATTCGTTCCATGTGGTAACAAAGTTGGATGGTAGAGACTAGAGCCAGGCTCTAGCTCTATCTCGCAATGAAAAAGGAAAAATACGATGTCTTATTGTTTCGGGGTTGACACCATTTGCTTTCACCGTGTCTGCGTATTGTACAAACATGGATACATGTAAATTTGGATCATCCGTTGGACATCCTAAAAACTGATTTTGTTGGACAACTTGTAATAACAAAGGTTTCAACTCGAAATCGTTCCGAGCGATAGCGGGAGAAACAATGTTGTTGTGAGGTTCCTCTTGCGATTGGGGCAACATAATCCTCCAGAGAATGATTTTGGGGTCCTTCGGCCATTCTTGGTTCAGGAAGAGATAAATCGGGAAGATTGAATTCAGGAAGGTTGTACTTAATTTGATATTCTCTGATTCAGCGTCTTATACTAACAAAACGCTCATCTTCGTCAATTGGTTGCTCTAATTCTTCGCCTTGAGAGCGAGTGCTTGGCATACAATCAACGGATAAAAGGAAATAAAATTGGTTTCCTTAGTTTATACTGTGTAACAACGGATTCACAATATCGACTAAATTAGTCCCCGACAACGGTGCCAAAAACTTGATCGTGTGACTTTAAGAGTCTATCGGGTGTATTAACTACAAGTGCACAGTTTAATTGTGTAGTTTTAAAAGATATCGAACCCACAGGGACTGGTAATCGAATTACTGCTATCTAAAGTTACTGTGTGAAGCTAAGGCTAATAAATCTTAGGTTTGGGGTAGACGAATAAGAAGGTTAGACTTAATTGAAATATTTAATAACAGGACACCGATACGTAATAGTCTGACTTCGAGATTTCAATAGTTCATTGGTATAGCTTTTAGTATTCAAAACACTTGTTCAGTAGAAACTATCAGTTTAAAAACCTTTATCTCACACTTTCGTGATTGTTGATTCGAATTATATAATTAAACTTAAATGCTTGCTCTTGCTGTCTCATTTAAAATCCAAAGATACTTTTTAAAAACAAAGAGTCTAATTAATTGTAAACCACTCTCTCTATATTTAAAACCAATGTTTGATGACCACTATCTGGTTAAAAACTCACACTCTCGTGATTATTGATTTTAGCCTTCGTTTTGTCTCTTACTCTTATAACAAAACAATTTGTATTAAAATTGGAAACCTAACCAGAAAAGTATTTTCATAAAATATTTATGCCAATTTATTACCGAAATCCTTCGGTTTGTGACCTTACATATCGGTATAAAGGGAAATTATCCAGACATATTATTAATTATGAATACAAAATAATAGCAGACATATAATAATTCAGGCATGATTGATAAATAAAGAACAATAATATAATTTAATTAAAAACCTGGAATTAAATAATAGAATGCAATTTCTGTAACTTCTAGTACTGATAGCAATCCTCCATAATATTTTGAATGTAGAAAAATACTATAAAACTTAAACAAAGTTCAGGAGGCTATGAAGAAAAAATAATGTGGCAATATTTTCTCGGTGTAAAAAACAATTGTTGTTTAGGTGAAGGTTTTATCTGCTTAAGTTCTAAGCAAAGCTCTGAACTGTTAAACTGAATAATGGCGTGAAAAGAAAAATGCAAAATGCAAAATAATATAACAAAACGAGATAACAAAGACGAGAGAGAGTAAAAAATATGCAAGAGAGAGAGAGAGAGAGAGAGAGAGAGAGAGAGAGAGCTTCTTGTATAACTGTCCTTCTTTTTATATCTCGTCCACAACAAAACTGCTTGAGAAAAAAAATAGGAATGTGACTTTGTTCTTCCAAAATTAATCCGTGTGTGGAGAAAGACCAGGAGGAAATCATGCAGGTCGTTGGCACTGGAGATTCGCAGAGTCATTGAGGAATCTTCGCGCGTCAAACAAAATAAAAAATAGGTTGTGCAGAGTGGCATGCAATGTGTGCTGTGGGGCACACATATTTTTACTTTGGTGCTGATCGGAATGGCTTGCGTACCGAGGGGCACACAAGCTCAACTTGTGCCGGGCGAAATGGAAGGTGTGCCGAGGGGCACAACCTTCTGATATGAAATCTTCTGCTATTTCTGCTGTTTTCCTGATTTTAAGTCAGTTTCTTTTCCATTTCTTCTCCTTTTCTCATGTAGGCCTTGGATGAAATAATTACCTGAAACACACTTGAAAAGCCAACAGAATGCAACATAATTGAGATAAAACAGTAACTTTATCTATGCAAATCGGGTCGAATATGCTATGTATTTTCGCGTTATCAAAGTTTTCGCATTATAGTTACACAGGAAATAGGTCTGAAGTCTTTTATCTTGCAAGCTCCTTCAAAATTTGGAATAATAGTCATAATTATGTTATTCATCGCTTTGTATAATCTATCATTCATAAAAAAATCCTGAATTGTAAAAATTATATCAGTCTTTACGATGGTCCAAGTGGTCTTGTAGAAACAGGCACCATACCCATTAACACCAGGGGCTGTCAAGTCATTCATCTTCTTTAGGGCTTGATGAATATCATTCTCAGAAACAGGCCATATAAGGTACTGATAATTTTCTGAGCTCACTTGATTCCCTTCCCTCATTACCTCAATATAAATTTTCTTAAGCATGGTGGTAGAAGTCCCAACCAAATCTTTGTCAAAAGTATATACTTCCTTCTCAATTTGATCATTATCTATAAGAATCTTGCCATCTCTATCAATCATCTTACTGATGTAAGCTTGTTTGTACTTTCTCTTAAGGTTAGCATAAAAATAGGCACTGCTACTATCACCTAACCTAATCCAATCAATCTTTTCTTTTTGCCTAAGAAGATCCTCCTCTATGTCAGCCAGTTTCATGACCTCTTGGGCATATGTTTTCACTTTCATGATTCTGTTAATATTCATTCTGTATGCTAAAAAATCCTCTTGAGCTTTACTAAGGTTATCCCTTGCAAGAGCCAACTGCCTTTTAATCCCCTGAAAAGTTGTGTACTTAACCCTGATAACAGTCTACAACCTCTGTAATTTCTTCCAAACTCTGAACATAGGTCTCCCAACTAGATCTTTGTTCCAGTCAGTCTCAAATGCAACAAGAAGCCCCTCTTCCTTAGCCAAAACATCAGGAAAATTAAAGCTTCTACTAACATTCTTCACCTGAGTAGATTCCTTCCAGCTTAACAATGCATGATCAGAAACCCCTGAAGGCAAAATTCTTAAAATACTATCTGTAGTCTGCTGGTGCTACCTGACATTACCGATAATTCTATCAATTCTGAAACAGATAGGCTCATTACTTTGATTATTAAACCAGGTGAAGTAATCCCCCTTACTATCTTTCTCAAATAACCCTATTATGTCCATCATTCCTTCCAAGTCCTTAAACTCTTTTTCCTGCACACTATTACCTCCAATCCTATTTTGAATGTGCAAAACATTATTGAAATCTCCCATTAAGAACCAAGGGCCCTAAACTGATTGAGCTAAATCCTTTATATCATTCCAAAGTTTTTTCCTTTTTTCCAAAGTGTTGTGAGCATATATAGAAGTGCACCACATCTTGAAATCACCTATGTTGTCATGAATCCCCGTGTGAATTAATTGATCAGTATTTACTTCATCTTTAAGGTTAACCTTTTTGCTATCCTAAAGAATCCACAACCTGCCATTATCATGATGCATATAGTTATCCATGTAAGACCAACCCTGACCTAATTTATTCCTAATACCATCTGCCTTTGATTTCTTAACTCTAGTTTCAATAAGAATTCCATTTTCAGGGTGTAGTTATTGAGACAAGTTGCTATCTCCCTACACTTACCTGTCCTGTTCAACCCTCTAAGATTTAAGGATAAAATCATGGCACACCTACTGTGTATGCTCCTGGATCTTTCCTAATCCTCAGAGCATCAAAGAAATTATTGCAAGGTATCTCCATCTCATATCCTGTAATACTACTTTTCCTCTCAATTTCATGTTATGCAACACTCGAGTCCAAGGCACAGTTGACAGTTCAATGGGATTATTAGGCGTGCTTACCTCATTAGGCTTAGAACTAACATTCTCATGCATCTGTTATTCATTGGGTTTTGGATTTACCTTAGCCTGAACCTGTTGTCATCGCTTCTTTTCCTTCAACTTAGCTTTATCACATTTGCGCCCCACCTTTTGACAAATTTCACAAAATGTGGGTTTCCATTCAAATTCTACTTTTTGTTCAAAGTTTTCTCCATCCTCATCTTGGATAATAATGCTTTCCTGTTGAGGTTTTGTTATATAAATTTCCACTAAAATTCTTGCATATGATATCCTTAATCTGTTAGCAGTACATTCATCAGTGAGGATCAATTTACCTATATCACTTCCTATCTTTCCCAGACTTGTCGCTCCCTGTAGGAAAATAGGCAGATTCGGAAGCGTCACCCAAACTGGTATAGTTCTTACCATATCTCTCTTAAAATTGAACTATGAGTACCAGTTCTTCAGAATCATGGGCATATTGTGGATAGTATAAGGCCCTCTCATCAACACCATTTCGTTCTCTTGTTCAGACTTGAATTTCATTAGAAAGTATCCCTCATCGTGATAGAAAAGATCCGGTAATTGAACAAAGTTCCAATATCTCATCATGAACTGTTTAACCGCATTCATGTTGAGGTGCTTCCTTAACACATACATGATTTTTGAGTTCTTCTAATACATCAATTCCTTCTCGTCATCTTCATTAGCAATAACAACAACTGGTTTACCTTCCACCATCAAGGGAACCGAGTAACCTAGAACAAGGCCATTTGCAGGGATGAGGTTACCACTAATCATATCAACCCACAATTTCTTATCCTTTTTCATAATCGGCTCAACATCTGCTTCCCCTGATTCTTCCTCTAAGGTTTATTCGTCCCATTCTTCCACCAATACTTTCGTTTTTTGTCACAGTTCCCTTCCTCATTCTTGCTTAAACTCCCCTTTCCTTCCTTACCCACAGAATGAGCCATTGGCTTTGATGCCTTTTTCTTTGGTCTTCCTCTCCCACGCCCTATCTTCTCCAATGAGCCAGACCAAATATGCTTCCTCACTGTGTCCCCTTCCCCTCCGTGGTCCCTAACCCTAAGGTTAGGAGTTTAAACCAACACAAGAGAAGCTTAAACAGTGATAACTCGTATCCCCCACCGAAACCCTAATTCCAACCGGAGATCTCCATAGCACAAGAGAGTTTATTATTATTATTATTATTATTATTATTATTATTATTATTATTATTATTATTATTATTATTATTATTATTATTATTATTATTATTATTATTATTATTATTATTATTATTATTATTATTATTAAAATGCAGTAATTGTTAGATAGAATAATGTGAAATTTTTTTATTAATAACCATGTATTAAAAAAATATTTCGCAAATAATCGGGTTTCGGAAAAAATTACGCAAATAACCATGTTTCAGATGGCTCCACAAAGGAGGAGCCATCTCAATTGGCGCATGCACCTAGGGTTTTGCCCTAGGCGCCATCTCACTTGGAGCCTCCCTTGTCTTTTAGCCAAGTGAGATGGCGCATGCTCCTTAAAAATGAGAGGAGGCGCCATCTCACTTGACGCCTAGGGCAAAACTAAGGCAAAATGCTGTTTTATAAATAATTCGTCCGTTTCTTTGAAATTTCTCACACTTTCTCGCACTGTATTTTTATTTTGTACTCCGTTATTTGCGTAATGACGTCGCCTATGATTTTTAGCAGAGATGGTTACGTTATATTCTCCGCCATGAAACCTGCGATGAAAATGAAATTCTGGCACATTCACTCCATGGAGCGTCTAAAGCGGGAGTTGATGCGGTGGCTAGATGGAGACATCGCGGAGGGGGAAAAAATTCGAAGGATCCAGCGAAAACGAACAACAACCTCGCATGCGACAGGAAGACCTAATGTGTGGTTGGAGGAAGTCAAAACAGACAGTGATGTAATGCTGATGATGCATGGGTCAGATGAAATTGTGTTAACAGTTGTAATTTCCTAGATTGAATATCGTTAATCATTGTTGTACGCGAAAACCCTAATGTAATTTCCTATATTGAATTTCTTAAATTGTGTTAACAGTTTTATTAACGGAAAACCTTAATGTTTACAACACAAATATTGAAAAGATTTATTGTATTACAATATTTATGTGGTCGAGCCAGACGCCTGATTCGGACAGTTTTTGCGATTGTGTCCGACCTGACGGCATAAACCACACTTTCTTTCCAACCTGTCAAGATCGTCCATTTCTGTTGTGATGCGCCTGCTTTTGGGACGACCCTTCTTGTTCCTTCGCATTTGGTCATTGTGCCAAACTATATCGCCGTTGTATTCAGGCCAATAGTCCGGTTTTGCCACCAAAGGAAAGTTGTTGTTGTAAACAGTGAGCAACGTTTCAGATTTATAAACGTTTGAGAGCAGTTGAAGCGCGTCTTGATGGGTATGAGCACAAGCGGCAATGACATGAGAGCAAGGCATACGAAATGCTTGAAACCTGCCACAATCGCACCATTGAGAAGGTAAAATGACCCTGTATTCTTGTCTTGCCAGGCCTTCATTGTGGTCGATTGTCTCTTTCACAATGAAGTTGTGGCTGTGTCGGTCAAACCGTGTAACCATGTGAGTGTTGGCTTTAGCACTTTCAGCCTTAATGTATCTCATACAGCTTTCACTCCATAGTTGTCCTGATTGCAAGACCGCATACCACATTTCACCTCTTTTGGCAAATAACGCAGCCATCCTAAAATACGTGGATTTTACCAAGGCAGTGATTGGGAGGTTTCGTATGCCCTTGAATACCCCATTCATTGATTCAATAAGATTTGTTGTCATATGCCCCCATCTTTGGCCATTGTCGTATGACCTAGTCCACTTTTCGACCGGTATATTGTCGATCCACGTACCGGCTTCTGGATTAGACAAACGGATCTCGTTGCGGTAATATTTGAATGTGGGTTGTGTCAATGCGTATCCCGCATTCATCACCGCTTTCCTCAATGTTTTGTCCTTGACCTCCCTCGAGAAATTCTGGACGATATGCCTGACGCAATAGACATGCGTAGAAGGAGGGTCATGCCAACCATTTGTTGGATTATTATAGGCACTTTCAATGGAGGCATGTCTGTCCGAGATCAAACAGAGATCTGGTTGAGGAGCCACGTGTGTACGAAGATTTTTCAGGAAAAAGCTCCAAGCACCACCGGTCTCCCCCTCGACAAGGGCAAACGCAACGGGGAAAATGTTATTGTTGCCATCTTGTGCAACTGCCATCAATAGCGTGCCTTTGTACTTCCCATACAACCAAGTCCCGTCAATTTGTAGAATTGGTTTGTATGATGCAAACCCTGTGATGCATGGTTGAAATGCCCAAAACACGCGACTGAATATTCCGTTGCCATGCAGTAGACTACCATCTTGGGCGTACGCTGGCAATGTTTCCAGAACATAAACACTACCTGGAGAATATGTCTTGAGTGCATTTAGGTAGCGGGGAAGTTCTCGGTATGACTCCTCCCAGTTTCCGTACACCCTTTCAATCGCCTTAGTCTTTGCTAACCACGCCTTACGGTAAGACAGAGTGTAGTTAAAAACCGTGGTGATGTGGGAGATGATTATTTTCACCTTCAAAGAAGGGTCGTTGCTGACCAGGGGTAGGATTTCTTGACAGATTAGATCATGGTTGAGTTTTCGGTGGTCTTGTGATTGAGTGGAACTTACACAAGTATGGGTAGTCATGGAACCTATGACCCAGCAGTCACCCCTTAATCTGTATGATGCAGTCAGCTTAAACATACAGTCAGGGTGGACACACTTGATCTTGTACCTTTCCGGGTTTACACGATCCACCTTAAAATCAACCGAGTTGAGCATGTGAAATTTTTTGATGGCCCTGATGCATTCCTCTCTGTTACGAAACTTGTCCTTCTCTTTTAAATTTTCATCCGACTGCATATACGGTTGGAAAAACAAGTCAGTAGAAGGTTCATCTCCGCCCATGTTGAAGTTTGTCATGTGCGTAGGTGGTGTGTAGATTTTGTCAGTAGGAATACTTGGGATGCCATCATCGTCAGAATCGTCGTTCACCATTTCATCAAACTCTAACTCGTTATCTTCTTCTTCATCATCAACTGCATCTACCTCATCTTGTTCATTCTCCAAAGGATCAACCTCCTGTGTCACCGAAGGCTCTACCTCCTGTGTCACCGGAGGCTCTTGAAGCAAAATGTACAACTCAATAGAGTCGTTTCCAGAATAGACATGGCTGGAAATCATGTTCTGGAGATCCTCGTCATCTTGAACTTCAACCTTATAAATAATTACTTGGTTGTTTCCAAAAAAAACTGGACTCTGATAAAATATCTGGGATACCAGGCCTCGTTCAAGTTTGGCCTCCAATTTTTTCTTGAAGTACGAGAAATTTGCTTTCCCGTTTAAGAGAAATCGAATGTTGTCGGTGTTTCTAAATAAAAACCCAACTGTGGGACAAATGTATGTCTCACCGTTGAAATGTGCTTTGACAACAAATTATGGTGAAGAGGCCATTGTGTAGAATTGTTTTAAGGTTTGAAGGTTGGAATGTTTGAGGTTTATTGATTGTATGAAGGTATGAATGCTTGAATGTTTGAAGGTTTGATGACTGATTCGAAGGTTGGAAGATTTTACAGATTATGTGAATCAATGTTATGTTCAACGTAAGGCAAAAAATTTCAATTAAGTAAGGGATGCAACCCCCCAAGGCTGCCAATAATATAACATGCAATAATGAAACCCCATAGCCTGCCACCTATCCTGGCCCTATTCTGCACACATAAATGTTTTGTGTAAGACTCCACCCATCAACTCCAATGGCCTTGCATGCAACAAAGAAAGGAATCCCAAAGGCTGTCACGTAGCCTGAGCCTATGCTATAAGAAGTGACACCTCTTATTCTCCAAATGGGGTGGCGACACCATTCATTTTTGTACTCTTTCGCCAAGTGAGATGGCGCCTCCCTTACTGTTCAATCGTGATACATGCATGGGCTTATGAAACCCCATAGCCTGCCACCTATCCTGGCCCTATTCTGCACACATAAATGTTTTGTGTAAGACTCCACCCATCAACTCCAATGGCCTTGCATGCAACAAAGAAAGGAATCCCAAAGGCTATCACGTAGCCTGAGCCTATGCTGTAAGAAGTGACACCTCTTATTTGCCAAATGGGGTGGCGACACCATTCATTTTTGTACTCTTTCGCCAAGTGAGATGGCGCCTCCCTTACTGTCCAATCGTGATACATGCATGGGCTTATGAAACCCCATAGCCTGTCACCTATCTTGGCCCTATTCTGCACACATAAATGTTTTGTGTAAGACTCCACCCATCAACTCCAATGGCCTTGCATGCAACAAAGAAAGGAATCCCAAAGGCTGTCACGTAGCCTGAGCCTATGCTGTAAGAAGTGACACCTCTTATTTGCCAAATGGGGTGGCGACACCATTCATTTTTGTACTCTTTCGCCAAGTGAGATGGCGCCTCCCTTACTGTCCAATCGTGATACATGCATGGGAATACTACTCACTAACCTGAAACGGCATTATGCAAGTATGGAATTAAATGAAAATTCCTCAGAGAATGACCGAGTAGTAAAATCCAGAACGTATCTTATGATACTTTTTGGTACATTTTTATTTCCCGAAAGTACGGGAAATAGTGTAAATTTCATGTACTTACATTTACTAACAAATTTTGAAAAAACTAGAAAATATAGTTGGGGTTCTGCAGTATTAGCCCACCTGTACAATTCCTTGTGCAAAAACGCAGTCAAGGAAAAATGTACATTTTATGGGTGCGCATTTTTACTATAAGCCTGGGGTTGGTGGAGGATGGAGTCCTTAAACCCCATCAACAACAACACTTTTGGTTTCCCGTACGCAACAAAGTAAGTCATTAAGTTATAGCATTTATAACTATTCTGCTCTTTCCAAAATATATGCTAAAAATAACATGTTTCTCATTTCCTTTAGGTACTGCGTGAGGGGTATGGATTACGGCAAGAATTCAAGATTCAATGTCGCACTCTACCGGAATCTGTTGGATCACTTAGGCCCAGATGACGTACGTCGTAGCTTTTAACTTTTGTTCATTTTAATTATTTATACATTACTTTTGCGCTAACCTGATTTAAATTTTATCGCAGTTCGTCTGGAGACCATATTTGGGTTTGGGCCATGCTCCAAACCCAGAGGATGCAGCAACTTGGACTGCAAAGACTGCACTCATTCGGTTTAACATTGTGGAGATGCACCACAGCGACCGTGTGAAGATGCAGTTCGGAATGCATCAAGAGATACCAAGTGATCCAACAGATTTCTCCCCCTGGCATCTAAAAAGGGTCGACGCCCAGTGGGGTCTTACCAACTGGAAAGACTTTGCTCCGGAATGGTGTAAAATGTGGCAAAGGCGTCACCGCTACATCTTGCAATCCCTGGTTTTCCTTACTCAAGGTAACATGCGACACACTGATCAATATATGTCGTGGTACAGGTCGGTTAGTAACCCAGAAATGCACGTGTCTCATCCGAGGTACTTGGTTGACCCACGCACACAATGGGCACAACCCTCGATTCCCCATCAACAAACCCAAAATCCATCAACCTCAAACCAACCCCCAAGAAGAAACAGACCAACAAACACACAACCACATTCCCCACCACAACACAACTACAATCAAATGCCGTACTACCAACCACAATCACCACCAAACTACCAATACCCGGATATGCCTCAAACCCAACCACAATACCAACCCTAATACCAGCACACCCACATACCCCAGACACAATTTCAGTCTTCCACATATCCCAATATGGCGCCCTCAACATCCAGCCTTAGCCCTGATATGGGAATGTCAAAAGATTATGACCAAGCCGACCAAACCTACCATCAACCACCATATCACCAAACAACCCAACATCCACAATACCAAACACCCCAAGATCCATTTCCTTTCTACCCCCCATACTCAGACGACCAATGCTACCGACCAACCATGGAACCCCACCCACCGCCAACACGACCAAACTTTGAGGGTATGGGTAACCGACTGTACCAGAGCGGATCTTCGAGATATGGAGATCTTACTGATTTTATGGATTCGGATCGCATTGACTTCGCTGGGCCATCGACCTTGCCGCAGCAGGAAACGCGACGGCACCCAGCAAGAGAAATGCGAGGACGGGGATGCGGAACCGGGGTTCATTACCGGGT